GGTTTCACCATTTTGTTACAAATTTTAGAAGGTCTGTCAAGTGGAATCTGGACGACAAATGGGCCTTCTGGACGCGCAACTTCGTCTGATACGATGGACCAACGCAAATCATCTCAACGAGCTGAAGAATATTGCATTAAAAGACTCGTCGAAAGCTATCTTTCTTTTGCTTGGAATTTGGTCAGCCTAGTTTCTATATGAGTAGTATTCAAAGCTATCACTAATTCTTGAATATAAGATTGGTTAGACAAATTCACTTAGTGTGATTCAAGAACTGATAGTTGAGATTTTCCCAAAACGAGAGGAGTATGTCTCATGAATGTCAGTCGTTAAATCCCCTTAAACGACTTGATGTGACTAAGTTCTTATTCAAGAATTACGGAAGATCTCGGAAGCTATTCATATGAAAAGTAGGCAGCATGGTTAAATGCTTAAGTAACTGTCCCACTCCAAGAAGTGGGAATTGGAAGAGACCTGGCCTGCCTTGATTGACACTTCTACTCTCTGACCCGCTGGCAACAGTGGCTGTGTGGCGGAGTTGAGTGTTGCTGTGTTGCTGTGGTTTGTTGTGTTACTAACAACACGATGTCGAAGCACTCTGGCAGTGCTGATGAGAGAAGATGAGGCGACGTTGAGTCGGGATGAGATGGTCTTTTAGGAGGAAGGACTGGGTAAAAATGAGTAGCATCATGAGGTCAAGCATTATGATTATGTTTGAAAAGCTCAGCTATTACTCCTTAAATGAGTGGTTCCCAAACTTTTCCTAGTCGCAGCGGCCTTTTTCAATTGAAATATTTCCATGGCGCCCTATCTTGAGTAGGACTATTCGCAATTAAAAGGTACAAAAAAATAAGACTCGTGTATCTTCAAAATTTTTTTTAACTTTATTTACATTTTCGCAAATTGAAGCTTTTACTATATTTCGCTAAGTCAAAAATTCAGGAGTTGATGATAATCTCGAAAGATAATCTGTTGGAAATTAGACCGACCAAGTTATTAAGAAAAGAAAACTAACTTTTGATGAGTCTTTTGCTGCTTAAGATGTTTGCGCAATTCCAGCATATCAGAAGTTCTTAGATCACCTTAAGCGGCCTAAATGAAAGAAAGTGATTTTAGGACAGAAAGCAACAAGTGAAAGCTGGTCCCTTGACCAATTTTCTAGTTAAACGTTGACGAGGGATGATTGACTTCACCAACGGGATTTGATACCATTACCCATCGAACTACATAGCCCCAGGTGTCAGTCTGTCACAGGATAGATGGCACATTCTAGGCAGGCCAGATCACACCCAAATCACTTTCATGGTGGGATTATCGATTAAACAAAAATGTACATCAAGCACATCTTACAGCCAAAAATACCTTTATTTTCGCTTCCCATGGTTGCAAGTATCACCATTGTCTTACTTTTATTTTTCGCTCTCCTTCAAGTGGTTTTTCGTTCTGCATTTCTTCAATCCGTAGTTATATTTGCTGTCTTCCTTATTCTCTACCTATTCTCTGATACCAAATTATTCAGCTTTCTCTCGCTCTCTTTGCTCTATGTAAAAATCTACCTACTACCCTTTCTCTGTTTTTCGATTTTGCGTTTCCTCTCTTCCTTTCTTTCTCCCTCTCTCTCTCTATATATATATATATATTAATATATAAATAAATAAATATATATTTATATATATTCCTATTTTTTGCTCCCAGGATAAATGAAAAAGTCCAAACTTTTAATCACTGCCAGTTTTGTCGTATTTGGTCATTTCCGTCTGGTCTTACTAATTAAAATAAGACCGTATTTTAAGATAGACGGAATTTTTTTTTAATTTGGATCACTCGCGGCGGGCGTGGGATTTGCATAAATTTGTCAGGATGGGCTACTATGGTGATGTGTTTGCATCACCTAATTTTCATCAAAGTAAAGAATTAAATTTACCTGCTACTTATCAATTTTAATGGGGCAGATGAGATTTCATGCGATATTCCCTCTGAAGTTGCTTCTGCCGCCTCGGTTTGGCAAAGACAAGCGAAAAGAGCAGACTGCAAAGCGCACCCTCGTGATACGAGCCGCAAACGAATAGGACCATCCGAGAAAGCAAAAAGGGTCAATGAGGACCTCGTGTTGCGTCGTCGTCTCCTGTCCGCATGTCTTCTGCCAACTTCGAGCCATTGGCCGAGTAGCCGGTAGATCGTTATGCCCGTGGCTCGTCAAAGTCATGTGGTCGAAGGTCCGAGGCTGTGGAAGAGGATACGATGACATCGACGAGACGATGCATTTACAGACAGACTCGCACAGTCGCCCTGGCAACACCGCCAGGTTGTAGAGCCAAGAAGACATCACCACCTAGCAACAGCCGTCATGCCGACTGTCTAATGAAGCTTACTTTGGGAACCGTCACTTTGGGCTGTTAGCAGACTGTGCACATAGCAACGCCACCTGGTACCGCCGAAAAGAGCCTCGGTTGTGTAAATACGGTACCAGTGGCCGCCCAACCGCCCAACCGTGGGTTCGATTCGGTCAGATCGAGTAGATTTTAGGCGACTTTCAGGCGAC